CCCCCACGCACTGACCTTGAAATTGATAAGCTGACAACGAACACAGGCGGCGGTATCAAGGACGGAACCTTCTATGATGTTTTCAACTCTGGTCTTGATGTTGTGGTTGAGAACTTTGTGCCCACAGTGACGTCGACTTCGTCGATACCTTCCGCGACTTCCACAGACGTCTCGAACGCTCCATCTACAACGGCTGGACAAGACGCCTTGACATCTGCAAGCAACGCCCCTGCCGAGAGCGGCAAGGCAGATTCTGGGAATGGCGGTCCTTCCATTGGCGGCATCATCGCGGGTGTCGTTGTAGGCGTGGTTGCCATGGCTGCTATTGCTGGCGCCATCTTCTGGTGGGTGCGTCGCAAACGCAACTCCGAGATCGAAGAAGAACACCGCCGCAACGCCGCGGTGAACTCTTTTATTGCCGGTGCGAAGCCCCCGAGCAGCAGCGGCGGTATTTCCATGACCGATTCTCGCATGGATCCCGGTTTCGCTCACCGCCGAATGAGCGACGGCAGCATCGCCGACAACCAAGACTATTCGCGCAAGATTCTTCGAGTACGTTTCCATAGCTTTCACAGTGTCAGAGAGACCAACTAACATGGCCAGGTAACCAACGCATGAGAGAGCGCCATGCCAGTCACGACGAACGACCTCTGCCCGTGATCACCTCACCACAAATACACTCATTTTCTCGGCATTTTAGGCGTTTCTGATGTTTCTCTCGCTGGTTTTACTTTGGGCGGCTTGATCGCCGAGGCGATACGAGCACGGTGTTGATTTGTATTTTCTCGTCTCATCTGTCTTGTCACGGTGCAGGGATATCCATCAGCTCGAGGTTTACGACGGAGGTTCATTTGCGAGTTGGATTTTCTTTTTCGAAAACGCACCATTACCGCCATCCAACCCACCCAACGGACACCGAGCAACAATTACGCCATCCACTCCTTCATTTTCCCAGTCTACAGCTCTTATTCTTTTTAGACCTTCAGAGGTATACCGGGTGTCTCGAGACACCCTTCACCCATCGACTCATGGCACGGCCCATTGACCACCGGTTTCTGGTTCATGGACAAGGCTATCTTTGTACATGAACAGAGGAAGGTGATCGCTGGCCGGGCCTCCTACATACCTACACATACCTGTTTTACGATTTTCGGATGGATCAGAGGGATCAGAGGTGGAGATGGAGTACTGCAGCACGGACGGCTGAGGGAGTCTCGTGGCGTGTATAGATAGAGTGGCCCCCGCAATCTCACCGGCTGAGCCACGGATATACTGCGGTTGTCCCAGTCCGACGTGAGGGGGGAGGAGCTCATGTGTGCTGGGCTTTTGGGATTGGAGACGAACATGTCCGGCATCCGGGGCAGGCTGGCTCGCGTTGGATGCTGTGCCGTTGGGGATGCGCTGGCAGGCGTGTGGGTAGCTCGGTTTACGTAGAGCTACGCATTGTAATCGAGCATAAAAGTGATCAGAACTCATCGCCGCAAATTGGTGCGTTTCCTAGTGTTCCTAATCCCAAGGTTCTACAAGAGTATCTTGTCATTTACTTTCGGGGATTTCAGAGCCGTCACGGCAAACGCCAAGGCCCCGTAAACGCGGTCATGGTGAACGCAGCCCAAGCGACAACGATTTTCCAACAACAAATAAAGCCATACATCAAATCGAGCCAGAGAATCACAGGAGCTCTCCTCACCCGAATCCACGGTTCGGGGATGACCGACCGGCCAAGAACCTGGGAACCGAGGAGGGCCGTGTGGGTTCGCGGGGGAACCAGCCGAGACGGGTGTGCTCAGATGCGCCAACAAGTGCCGTTCCCTGTGCTGCGTTCAGGTACAGCGTTGGTGGGGGGAGTGCGAAGGAGGCCGCCCCCCTCTCTCATTGTTCCTCGCTGACCACCTTCCTACTGGCCGTTTGGCTGTCTAAGCTAGCTGGGAACCCGTCTTGGTCACGGGGGCGACGGGCAGCAAGTTACACAGACTTGAAGGGGGGGGGGGCAGACCGTTTGGGTTTGGGCGGTTTCGATCGGTTCGGGCAAGACCCCCTGACGATCACGGTGCGATTTATCCTGGTGTGTGTGTGTGTGTGTGTGTGTGTGTGTGCGGATGAAGGCTCCATTTTTCCAATGATTGGGCGTTGGCACTGCCACTTGGGTTCCTGGGTTTGGACGAGGGATGGCTGCATCGCAAGGCGCGGGCTTGTATGTCGGGTAGCTTGAAGCAATTGGACGAGGAGGCTATGCTGTGCCAGGGAAAGGGTGTAATAGTACTTGAATACTTGGTTTGTGCGAGGGGTTTGGACGTGTGGGTTCCGACCGCCAGGTTTTGTCTCATGGCCTGGGGTCCTGTTGCAGTGGTCGTGGGGGATGACGTTCACCCTGCCACATATAGGTCCAGAAGGGGTCTTGTATTTCCTTTTTTCTCAGTGCTGGTCTTTGGTTTTATGCTCAACCTTGATGCGGAGATGAGCGATGAGCGTGCCTGTTGTTTCGCGCACCGCCCAGGGAGTCGGCAGGATAGACCGATCGTCGGGATTCAGATCGCGTTCGGCGGTGATCTCCAGGTCGTTGCCGTATCAGTCACTGCAGACTCTCAATTTGACTCAGGCGGGGGTTATACACGATCAATTGCAAGTCTGTTAGGTGAACGTCTCCTCATCGATCTCCTATGCTATTCCATGCTGCTTCAAGGCCTTTCAAACCGACGGCAACGCTGGCTTCATCATCTTTAACCATTCAAGTCGTGATACGTCTCATCAAGCATTCGTAGAATCATCCCTAATCTCCACAGTGATCTGTATGCCAGGTTCCAAAGAGCACACTCTACTGCAGCATCGGCGCACACTCGCCTCGGTGAACCCGCCAGTCCTTCTTCTGACACTCGGCGCTGCAGTACTTTGCTGTCTGGCATCGGGAGCACTTCTTGAGCGGCCCACCCGTGCCCTTGGCCTCGGTCGCGCGACAGTTGCTGCAGCGCTCCTTTGCGGGGACGTCTTCATTGCTTGCCAGCGAGCGGAATCTGTCAAAGTCAAATACGTCTTCGACCAACGACACGGCGAACGTGGGACTGATGGCAACGCGTGTCGCGTGCTTTGCGCCCTGTTCCCAGTACGGTACGCCGACAAAGTTGTCAGGGAAGCGACCGGCGCCGCAGGAACAGAGCACCGATTCACCAGGCTCAACGGAGAGGGGAATCTTGCCAGACTCGGCGTATTCACAGGACTTGTTATGAGACCAACTACGTCCCCGCTCAGCCAGAGCAGGCAGCGCCCTCTTCCACAGGACGAGCTCGTCATCGTCGACTGTGATAGAACAGATTTCCAGGGTGCGCAGGGTCATCAGGAAGTCGCCGACGTCGCCGGACGTGATAATGGATATGGTCAAGGGGAGAACGGCGGCATCGAGGACGATCGAAGAAGAGGCGCCGTCGAGCCGGAACGCCGAGACAAAGAGAAGCATGTGGATCCCGCCGCGGTCAGGATGGTCAATGGCAAAAAGCCCCGTCTGACCCCCCTGTAAGCCAGAAGCGATCATGAAAATGGTGAAGAGAGACTCCTTGAAGTTAAGACGAGCAGATGCCGACTTGACCCCTCCCTTTTGCGACGCTTCGCGAGCCTGTGCCTCCCGCGGTGAGAATTGCGCAGACGTCAGAGACGTGAGCCATCCAAGTGACTTCTTGTCAGAAAGGTTCAGGATGGGCAGGCGATCGAGGGCAAGATGGGGAGAATTCAATGTGACGGGAATCAAGCCGAATTTGACGTCCTGGGCGGCCAGCGATGGATACATGAAGTCTGTCAGGGCTGGTAGTGACAGAGGCTCTCCAAAGGGCACTACGGCTTCAACATAGCCCGACTTTCGAGCGACGCGCGTCCGTCCATTGCGTGAGTCAACCGGGACTGGAAATGTCATGGGTAGAGCCACGTTAGTGTCAACAAAGACAAACTCCACCGTGAACGGTGACGCCTGACGAAGCTTCACAGCGGCTTTGTCTTTGAGAAGCTTTTCAGCTTGCTGGGGGAGTTGGCTCAAGCGGCCAACTATACTGGTGATCTTGCCGCTCAAGTCAGTCTCGGCCATGAAGCGCGACTGTCCACTAATACCAGGCGTGCCGGTTGAAATATCAAAATTTCCTGGCCCTGCACAATACACTGGGTATATTTTCTGACCAGGAAGATACTTCGTGACGAAGACATGCTTGACTGCGTCCAATCGTGCCTGGAACACCAGCATTTCCGGGCCGAGAACTGGAGAGTAGAAAGCTAGACTTTGAGGATTAACCTGAACCTCAAGCCCGATCAAGGCCGACTTAGGTTCGGCTTGGAGCGCACCAGTGGGGACATAGAACGAGGCAATCAGCGGTGCATTACTGGACCACCCGTTCTCATCCTGATCTACGTGCACACGGAAGCCGTCTTCTGTCGCCAGGCCTGAAGTGCTGACTGTGCCAAAGTTCAGATGTACGTCACCAAACGTGTTGTGCCACTGGCTGGCGGCAGTAGGACTAGATCTCAACGATCCCATGAATGTCGGTGCAGAAAGCCTAGCCTCTGGTGAACTGCTGTACAGTCGGGACACTTCTGCACGCGGAATAACCAACGTAACAGCCACGACTTCGGGGATTTCGGACCAGGCGGCAAATGACCCAGCAGATGGGCTGCGGCGAATTGCGCTGCGAAGCCAGTCGGGGGAGAAGAGGTTGTGCACGTGGAAAAGTGAGCCCCTCTCTTGAGCATGTTGGCTCGTGAATCCGAGAGCCTTGTCCGCTCGAATCATTTTATCTAGTTCCATGCAGATCTCTGTAATGTCTGTGACCAGTGTTGACTTCCTAAGAAAATTGAGCAGTGCCATGAGGCTGCCGCGGTGAAAGTGAGTAAAGACAGAGGTCGGACCGTACTGTGAGCTATCAGGGCCATTTAGTGTTAGCATCGCCATCGGGTTTTCGTGTGCGAACATCTTCAGGTACATCTGAAAGACGATCGCGGCAAGCTCTCGAGGCTGAATCTGGACACGGACGGAGGCATGGGTGCCAGACAAGCTTCCATTGTGTTTCCAACTGATACGGCTGTGAACCTGGACAGGGCTGGTCTTAGAGGCGCTCAGCCCAAGCATTACTTCTTGCAGCGTCGAGACGGCTGTGGCGTTCGTCCAGTATTCAACTGGACTAACGCCTAGGAGCAACGAGACAGTGGGAGCATGGCCGCAAAGGAGGTTGTCGAGGATTTCCTGATCAGAGGAGCTTGAGCCTTTCAGCAGTGTTTCTGTAGATAGCGTCGCCCACGGCTGCAGAGTTAGGAGTGGTATGAGGGACACCAAGAGGTTCAGGGTACCGACATGGTCGCTAGGTTGGACGTATCAATGACATCGAATACTCTTGGAACACCCGGTTCGACGTTCAACTCGAGCACGCGCGAGTCGAACTGTCGCTGTACCAGCCGGCTGGAGGAATCTCGAGACTGCGACGGATCGCAGAAAGGCAAATACATCCACAGAAGCAACCTCACAACAAGCGACGGGCCTTCAACATGGCACTGCAGGCAATAAGCCAAGCTTAAATTGGGCCTTTGCCGAAGCCACTGCCTTGAACTTTTCATGAGCGTATTCGGGACGCAGCGGTGACGCCTCGGCCAGGGGCGCATAGCCCGTGGCGAGGTGGAACCCCAGAATGGGATCAGTGCCATAGTGAAGGGCGACTTGCTCGGAAAGAGAGGCTGCGATCATGGGGTTGGGAATGGATGGTGCATCGAAGCCGGTGGTTCCGTGCTTCCAGTAGTGCTTGTATTCTTCAACAACGTCTTGTTGTACCGCAGTCAATATGGGTGCTGCAGAGCGCATAGCAGTGGTGACGAGGGGCAGCCCGTTTTCTTTGCTTCGGAATCGTAAGGCCATGTCAGCCAAGGACCGTTTGAGGTGGCTTTGGAAAGTTTCTCCCTGTGCAGAGTCGGGTTTCGTGGAAGCGGCTGCAAACTTGAGCCAGACCGCTCGAACGTCATCCAGCGTACCCTCGTCGCTGAAAGGAAGCATACTGCCATATACACTTGACTTCCAAGCCTCGAGGCCCTCGGAGGACGCGACCAGCTTTTTGGATTGTGACGACAGGCATTCCATATCCGACCCATCAAGATAAAGATGATAGTACATGTTCCAGAGCGAGCTGCTGTCAAGGTCATCGCCATGATCGATGATGAAGGAAAATAGAACAATGTTGCGGGCTGAAGGGCTGTTAGAAGACGATGCTCGGTATCTCTACTTGTTAGTAAGGGCGTACCTAGAATGCTGGGCTCAGTGTCACAGCAGGTGATGTCGAGTTTTCGGGGGCCTGAAACTCGATCAGTCCAATGCCGCAATAACAGATGAGGGCCAGCATACATGATTTTTCCTGCATGTAAGCAGTGAAGAGGATGTTGCGTGTATCACCACAGCCAGCAAGGAGAATATTGGCATCCTGGCCTTGTGGGATCGCACGGGTGAGGCTGATGGCGGGTGTGTTGCCAATGGGATAAAATTGTGCCGTAGCACTCGCGACTGAAGGAACAAGCATCGTGCTGACGCCTGGAGCTATCTCTCGCAGTAGGTGGGATGGGTCAAAGTGCAACGACCTGAAGCTGTTGGAGGTGGAGTGTACTCAGAATGAGTATCGCCAATGCTGGCCCTCAGTCGTGGCTGCCCTCTGGAAAGAACCTCTGTGTCGAGCGATCCGGACATGAACCCGATGAACCAAACAAGCGGCGGTGCACGAGTTGCCCCCGAAATCGTTTTGGCTTGAGTAGCTTCTTCAGGAAGCTGCAATTTATAGCACAAAATTTGTCGACCTGTATCTGGGGTTTGGCCAGCCAGAGTTCTTTGACACCGCCAAGTGGGTGTTTGCTAGGCACCCTACCTCAGGTGGTGCAGGTGAAGGTGCAGCTGGGCGGCGACTGAGCGAGCAAACGACACAAACGCACAGACCCGACGAGCTGTCCAGGACCCACTTTGGCATTTCCTCTGTTCGCGATGCTCGTCGCGTTTGGTTTTTGAAGCCTCGTCCAAACCACATCCTGCCATAACGGCCAGCTCCATTGCCGCACCTTCTCCATCCCTTTACGGATCCTGTCGGTTTGATATTACTCTCAACCGATCCAGCGACACGTACCCGGCAATTCGCTAACGGACGGGCATTCCTGCCTTCGCCTTGTCAACTAGTTGTCCCTTTAATCTATGATTGGGAAGGAAAGCCACCACGAAT